CCCCCCCCACCAAGCACAGTGGCTGGAGACTGCCACACCTGCATGAGCACTGCTCCGACGGTGGATCTCCCCATGCCGAACGAGTTTGCCACGGATCGGTAGCTATCCGGTGTGGAGAGCATCCATAGGGTGATGGCCGCATGCTTGTGGAGGGGAATGGCGGGCCTCATGTGCATGTCCTATCACCACAGAGCAGGGGCAAGCCACTTACAGAGCTCGAGGAAGGTGTCCTTCTTCATCCTGAAGTTCTGAGTTCATTGGTGGTCTCCCCAGCGCTCCAAGACAATGTCGTCCCACCAGTCTCTGCTAGTGTCCAGATGCCAGATGGGGCAGGGCACGCTGGTGTCCGGGAGCTGCAGCTGCTCCTGTCCCCCCCACCAGTCTCTGCTAGTGTCCAGATGCCAGATGGGGCAGGGCACGCTGGTGTCCGGGAGCTGCAGCTGCTCCTCCCTGTCCCCCAGGAGGGTCCGGAGGATGGCATGGGGGTCGGGCTGCAGCAGATGCTGTGAGGCAGCTTGCAGAAGGCGCAGCCAGGCTTGCAGCAACAAGTCCAAAATGAGTACCAGAGTGCCTGGGGCAGCTCCAGCTCCATGGTGCCGAGTGCTACGGTGTCCCTGTGACGGGACGGGACGGGACGGGTCTAGGCACAGCTGAAGGCGTCCGCTCAGGGCGAATTGCTCAAATTCGGGGCTCCTTACAGCCCCCAGACTGGAGACCTTCCAAACAGGCTACAAACCAGTCCCACAGAGTGCTTCAGCTGCCTGCCTGAAGCCTCACAAGCAAAACCCCTCCGACACCCCAGTGATATCCGTGCTCCAAATGGCCCTGGCCACATACACAGGTGAGGGGGTCTTAGAACCCAATCTCACCTTCCCCAAACAAGTTCTGTCCAGTTCCAAGAAACCAGCCACAGTTCCCAGGTCAGTTTACTCTCTGGATCTTACCCACAAATCACGCTGAGCCAATCCTTTAGAATCTACAATCTAAAGGTTTATTACTACAAGAAAGAAAAGCATGAGAGTAAGGTTGTTAAAGTATCATATATTACATGCATCGAATCTCCCGGTTCTCGACGCAGGCCCTAGCAGAGATATTATAGCCGCTGGCTTAAAAGTCCTTGTTGAACATCCGATGTCAGGATGGGTCCACAGTTCTTCCCGCCTCGTGATTCCCTACAAGGCCACATCTGGGGTCAGAAGCAGATCTGAAGACCAAGACAGAGTCGGCCACATGGCATAGTTATACCTCCTTCCTGGTCTCTTCTTGGCTGCAGCAGGTCACCTGGCCTGCGGCCTATCCCTGTGTTCCCTGCTGGTAGACCCTAGGTATGAGTCCCCATTCTTGAGGTGTGTCGTTGGCCTATAGAGGGCTATTGTTCCAGAGCTTTGCTCATTAGCATGTCCATAGGCTGAGCTGCTTTGCCCTTAGTTCAACCATATATAGAGAAACATTCAGTATCCACACAAAGTACATGCTTATAACTTCACACACAGACATTATACAATTACATTAATAGCATATATGAAATCAGAAGAAAGTAAGCTTCTATTTGACACCTCACATGGCCTCCTTTGTACCGACTTTTGGGGCAAACACCCCCCCATGGGTGAAGCAGTGACCCGGCTGCTCCCCTCAAAATCTCATAACGTGACAGTCCCCAGTGAGGGCAACCAAAGCAGGCAGAGACAAAAATGCTTTGCTGTCCCTCGGTGACGTAGGCAAGCAAGCAGGGAAAGCTGAGAACTGGCTGTCCAGGAGGGTTCCCTTTAAGCACAAGCCTCAGCTAGCCTCAGGCAGCAGCCACACTAAGTAACTCCTGACCTGATGCCCTGCTGGAACCAATTTCAGCTGCCCTTAAATGTGATTCAGCATCCAATCAGTGTGGACATGTGATTTTGAAATAGCAAAATGCTATTTCGAAATGCATTTTGTGTGTAGACGCGTTATTTCGAACTAACTTATTTCAAATGAACTATTTCGAAATAAGATATTTTGAAATAACGCTGTAGTGTAGACATACCCTAATGGGAGGCAGAGGAGAGAGGGCTCCATCAGCCTTCTTCTGTCAGCTCCCAATGTCCCCTGGGCCAGCAGCCCTGAGACTTTGAGGGTATGTCTAGATTACATGCCTCTGTCGGCAGAGGCATGTAAAACAGGCTACCCGACAGTCAATGAAGTGGGGATTTAAATATCCCCGGCTCCATTAAAATAAAAATGGCCACCGCGCTGTGCTGGCTCAGCTGATTGTCGGCACAGTGCGGCAGTCAAGACGCGGATCGGTCGACAGGGGAAGCCTTTATCGACCTCTCCTGTAAACCTCAGGATAGGAGTCTGAAAGTTCCCCCCAGATGGCCGAGGTATGGCTCAGGTCACCAATGGGGATGTCTCTCAGAGGACTCTTTCTATCCCACCTCTTTGTGAGGGTTTCCCACCAGGAGGGCTAGAGAGCAGCCCCCCGCCTCTGCAGGTGGAGGGAGGGAAGCAAGGAAAAGGGAAAACACTAAAGTCAACCCCCAATGTCCACACCCACTCACAGGGACAAAGGCCTAAGTGGCAAAAACATTCTCTCACCTTAGCCTAGTGTTTTGTGTGTGATCAGTTTGGCCAGCACCAGTCCCATCAGGCTGCACAGGTACCAACCTCCTCCAAGGCTCTTACCTTCTCCACCTGTCTTCCAGCTCAGTTAGTGGTGGGAAAGGAGAAATCTCCAAACAGGCTCCTCCTTGTGCTCACATACAGGACCCTGCATTTTCTCAGGCCTCCAGGGCAGCCCTCAAGGAGGAGACGCCCTGGGGCAAAGCCCTGGGGGGGGCGTGTCTCTGAGATTGCCCTTGCCCTGCAGCCTGCCCCACCTGGCTGTTGTCATGGTCTCTGTATGAGGTCACCAACCTCCTTTAACCAATAAGCTGGGGTGCTGCAAAAGGCCTTTGTGATGTCAGTGCCACACCCACCCCGCCCTGCATGGCTAATGTCTTGCCCCTTTCCGTCCCCTTTGCATGTTTGAGCTGTTCCCCTGGGTCCCCCCCACTCACTCAGGGTTAGTTCTGGGATCAAGCAGGCTACACACGGGAACATCAGAGGCTGCTCAGTGCCACACTCAGTTTTGAGCAGCTTTGCAGGCTTTAAAGCCATAGGAGCTGGTTAGATCATCTAATATGACCCCCTGCATATCACAGGCCTCCTGTCTGGGGCAGCAGCGAGTCGTGAACCAAAGCACACTCCAGCAAGGCATCTGGTCTTCACTGACATCAAGAGATGGAGAAACCACCGCTTCCCTTGGTAATTTGGAGAGAATTGATGCAATGAGGGGAAGGGAATGGGCCCCAAGGCCACACTCATGAGTCAGTGGCATAACACATGCACGCCAGCACTGCACGAAGGGTGTGCACCAGGGGTCCCCAACATTTTTATGCCCAAGATCACTTTCAGAGTTTAAGTGGAACCCAAGATTTACTGTGTCCCATCACTGATGCCCTGCCCCTTCCCCAAAACCCCTCCCTGCTCACTCCATCCTCCCCTCTCTGTTGCTCACTCTCCCCAACTCTAACCGACTTTTACTGATCTGCAGCAGGGGTTTGGGGTTCAGGAGTGGGTATGGGGTGAAGCAGGAGGTCAGGGGTGCTGGCTCAGAGGGGAGTCAAGGCTGGAGTAGGTGCTTGGGATACAGGAGGAGATTCATGGTGCAGGAGAGGTTTAGAGGGCTGGCTCTGAGGGGGACTCAGGGTTGAGGTGGGTTTTGGGGTGCTAGTTCTGAGTGTGGGCTCAGAGCTAGGGATTGGGGGTGCAAGAGGCAGTATGGGTACTGTCTGGGATTTGGCTCAGGGCTGAGTTGGGGTGCCCTCTCTGGGAGGAGAGTTGGAGTGGGTTGGGGTGGAAGGGGGGGTGCAGGCTCTGGGAAGGTAACTAAGGCTGGGGCAGAGGGCTGAGTTGCAGGAGGAGGTTCAGGATACAGCAGGGGATGTGGTGGCAGGTCAGGGGTGCAGGATGGGGCGCATTCCAGCCTTGAATTTTATGGAGGTGAAGCAATGGGTTTTGCCACAGGACTTCTCATTGGTTTTAAAGTTACAGACTAACATGGCGACCCCTTTTGTCACATTTATCGTCACCGTTTGAGATTATCTGGCTGACAGAGTAAAGACTGAATCAAGAGGAGGGGGCTGTGGCTATCACAGAGATACAGACTAGTTAACCCTTGGAGCATGTATTTACTTGGGCTGTACACACAATCACAACAGCAACGGGCTCAAATAAGACACACAATTATGTGTCTAAATCTACTTAAAATATGGTGCACACTGCAGCTAAACCGCTCAGATTGCAGTCACGGAAATCCATCCAACTCTGTGAAAGGTAAATGTTTGCGGAAATACAGGTTTTCTTGGCCTCCTCTCCTGTCTTCCCTCTTTCACTCCCTAAGGACTCTGATTTGCAAACTGAGGTAAACACGCCTTCCTGTGTTTAAAAACTGCTTGACCAGTTCTGCCTAATCAGGGCTACGTAAATTTGAACATGTGCCACCAATATCATTTAGGGGCAATTCGTAACATTACATATAACGTTACCATGCAATTATTGCCCAGAGAGCTGTTCATTTTCTAGTGATATGTCACAAGGTGTATTTTGCACAAAGATCATTAGAATGGTGTCTAGGGTGTGGATACAGGGGTGCATTCCATCACAGAAAACAAACTATATGGGGAGCTTTTGATAAGTTGTCACGGCTACACATCAACTAGTCTAATCTTGAAACTGTTTTTAGCAAGTAGAAATCACAATTAGTTAGTTCTCTGTCCATTGTCGCTTGGCCATCTGGCCACAGCATTAGCAGGAAAACTCTCTCAAAGGAAACAGTTCATCCTTTTGTTGTCCTTTCTACTTGGTCAAAGCAATTTCCTTCTCCTGATACCACAGGGATTTTATCTTCGTGTTGTGGAAATCTCAGACTTGTACCCCTCAGACTTTCATTTGTGGATTGTCTGATTGCTTAAAAGTTCTGTCAAATTCAAAATATATAATTAAATATTATTATTAGTCCTAGGAAGAAAAAGTTAACAAGACAATTATGATTAGCGTAATAATATCTTTCGCTGGCTTCGACTGATTGTTACTCCCCTTCAGGTTCTTCTGGGAATCTTATTTCTTTAACCTCTGAGCATGGCAATCATATCTCCAGCTCCTCTCATTTCTCTATAGCTGTTGCAGAGGGACACTAACACAGTAAATTTGGCCCATGATGTGGGTCTTGGAAAAATAAGCTTTTATGAAAACTAAGAGCAATAACAATGTTTCCATGATGGTTTTCAAAACCTCAAAAGGAAACAGGATGTTTGTTTTGTTTTATAAAAGCAAAATCCGATTATCTGTGTTTTTAATAACAAGTAATTTGATTTATTTCAGAGGAATAAAGTGACATTATGTTTCCACTTTTCTTAGGTGGCCACCTTACCCTGTGAGCCGACATCAAGAGAGGAAGAGCAATTTCTCATGCTACGCAGCTTGTCACTGGAGTCCCTTATAACCATGGCTCACCTGCCCTGGTGAGGACTTTGATTGCATGTTGCAGTAGGAATGTAACACATTTCTCAGGTGCCCATCAGGAGCAACATCAGTGAGAACAAATGGAGTGAGCGCTCTTGTAAGGAGTTTAAGGCATGTAAATCTACCCGGCCAGACTGCCTTGAACGCACAGAGGGAGAGCAGAGCTTCCCTTCTCCTGAGGAAGTAGGACTCCGGCAAGTAAAATCTCCCCTCCAATCCCACATCCATGTGCACATTGCTGCACCAGATTTCACGGGGAGTGCAAAGGGTCCACTCCCTTCTGTAGCTGAACATCTCTGCTGGCCAGTGCGAGGATGGGAGGATGGAGTGGCCCCTAAGGCCATCTTCACCCATTTGTGATTGTGATATCTGCTCCCCATCTGTCAGCCTGCCAGTGACGGACATGGAGTGCCCTTCACACCCTTTCCTCCCCACGACTTGTTCCACTCCCTTGACTGGCACTATCACTCCAGTCCCAGCTTTGCCTGGCATGTGTATCAAACAGGCCTGGAGTCTAAGAGCTAATCAGCGAGCCCAGGGGTCCTCCACAGTCAGGGGAAGCAGGACATGGGGAGAAAGGGTGAAAGAGCAAGAGGTTAGTGATCAGGGCAGCAGGCCGATACTGCAGACCACTAGCATTGTTTCACCTCCGCTGCATTCTTGCAGAATCCCCCCCATTCAGGGACACAATGCCGAGCTGAATTTTGGCTAGGGATAGGAACGGTTAACCGGTTAACCAGTTAACTGGTAAGCATCACCAGTAATGGGCAATGCTTACAAGTTCCAGTTAACCGGTGGGGGCTGGAGCAGCTCCCTCTTTGATGCAGGCAGGAGGGAGCTCCAGCCCCGCAGGGCCCACCACAGATAGCAGCTGTTCTGGAAGCCCAGCACATCCCCATCCATGCTGAGCCAGGTGCATTGCAGGTAGGGGGGCTGCTCCAACCTGCCCGCCCTCCCGCCGCCTGCTCCCCTTTAATCGATTAACTGGTTAAACATCATTTGAACCAGTTAACTAATTAAACAGGATTTTCCATTCCTCGTTTTGGCTGCATCAAGGAAGACGTGCCAGAGACTCCAGGAAGTCCAAATAGAAACTTCGCCACTGCTATTGATTTTACATGAAAGGCACTGCGCAATACAATCCCTGTGCGAGATTATCATGGCACTACTAGACTTAGGGCTCGCTGACTGTTTTAACAGCTGATTTTTCTAAGTATCCTAAAATCCACATGCAGACTCAGATTACTTTGAAATGTGCTGTCCATCATTAAGGTTCAGGGTGGGATTGGTGGCCCTAAAGTGAGGTGGTTATAGCAAAGGGTCTTCAAGTTATACCCCTCCCTTAAAAAAAATAATGCAATAGCAAAATTGTAGGGTTTGTATCCTCTCCCTGCCCTTTTTTGTTGTTGTTATACAGGTCTAGACCTACAGCTATAGCTCAGATCTGCCCCAAACTGGTATCACCTGCGTGGAGGTGATGTCAGCTGGTGTCTAGTAGCCTCTGCCCCTTGGAGGAAGCAATATTTCAAAGGTTACTCCTGGTAAAAGTTGGCTGTCCCTTGTGGCTCAAGTCAAGTTAATGTGTCAAGGAAAGTCATCTGCATGCAGGCAGTAGACATGGGGCTCTATAGCAAGCCAGATTGTCAGCGTAACTGGGTGCATCAAGGGAGCTTGCTGTGACCACTGAATTCAAGCAGCATCCATCTATAGTGCATCTGCGCCCTGCTCTGGCAGCTTTCTAAGAATGTGTGTTGTTCACATTAGCAACTCTCTGCCTCAGATGCTTTGCTCATGGGGGCAAATTTCCAAAGGTCTGCCCTTTGGAAATTTGCCGCCAAGAGCAAAGCATCTGGGGAAGCGTCCCTATTTTAAAATTTTCTCTCTCTCTCCCCCCCCTCAATATTTTCTTCCTATTGGTTCTCCTGGCTCCCTGCCAGCACTTCCTGGGTTTAACCCTTTAGTTACTGAATGATCAGACGTTTAGAAAAGGGCAGCACTGCTGCATGAGACTGTGATGCCACTCTGATGTGACTGGCTATATTTGTGATGTGATCTCACATATCAACAGAAAATTCTGGTCAGGAACAGTGCATTTTCCTGCAATGAAGCCTTTTAAAAGTAGATTGAAGGGCAAGGCCAGGGGGTATATGGAACATTAGTTCTTCAATGCGTTTAGGACTTCATTAATAGTCAGAGAGATTTCCAGCTTCCTCAGGCAGACAGGAAAGCGTTTCAATTTCTTCCCCAAATTCAGAAGCACAAACACTAAGCAAACACAAGAGGCAAGCTCTACTCTGTTTGGGAATGTCTAAAACGTCCCTCTGTCGAAAGAGGGATGTAAATTAGGCAAATCGAAAGAGCAAATGAAGCGGGAATTTAAATATCCCACACTTCATTTGCATCATCGCATCACAACAGTCTTTCGAAAAAAGAGTATTTTGAAAGTGAAACCGTCTAGACGCGGTTCATTTGAAAGAAAAACAAAACTTTTTTCGAAAGATCCTGTACTCCTCAGGGAAAAAGGGGGGTTTTGAAAAAGGTTTTTTTTTTTTAAAAAAAAAAGAACCACATCTAGACAGGGGTTTCACTTTCGAAATACCCTTTTTTGAAAGACCACTGTGACGTGATTATGCAAATGAAGCGCAGGATATTTAAATCCCCACTTCATTTGCACTTTCGATTTGCCTAATTTACATCCCTCTTTTGACAGAGGGTTGTAGTTTAGACATAGCCTCTCTGTCCTGCAATTTAAAGTCCTTCCTCTTACTTTTAATATCCTTCATAAGTCAATCTTGAGCTCTTTGCCTCAGCTGCCAAGATCTCTCTCTCTCTCTCTCTCTCTGCTTTGTTTCCCTGGTTAATTTTTTTACTTTGTTAGACAATCTAATTGGATGTTCTGTCTGTTCCGGGAGCATCCACTTTAGCTGCCTTCTTGCATCTGCCTTGCCAGTGCTGTGGAAAGCTTGGCCTCACCATTCCCATTTGCCTTTTCCCTTTGCAGTTTCTTTAATATTCAGTTACAAAGGTGCAATTCTAGCTGCCGTCCTTGTTACTGTAGCACGATCCCAGAGCCCTATCAGATCTTTTTGTCATTTTTCTCTCAAAGGACATCTGCCCTTCTGTTTTGAGGTCTACGTTTCAGGAGTTTCTGTAGGAGTTACTTACGGGCATGTGAATCGGCCTGACCCACTACGGTCGTTCTTAACCTAGAAAAGGCCGATTCACATGCCCGTAAGTAACTCCTACAGAATCCATGCTGGGCTGGATCAGCTGATTGTCGGCTCAGTGTCCTGTTCTCCCAACATGGCTCTCCTCTAATGGCCAGCTAGCTCAGCTGGTGAGCGTAGGGGGCTAATAACACCAACGTGAGGGGTTCGAGCCCCACGCTGGCTACTTGACTGTCTCAACGTTGGGGTAGGTCTTTGTTCTGATTCTGCTCATTTCTTTGGGGCACCTGGCATTAGCCACTGTTGGGGTGTGTCTAGACTACATGGCTCCGTCGACGGAGCCATGTAAAGTGGTTTACCCGACATAGTCAATGAAGCGGGGATTTAAATAATCCCTGCTTCATAAAATAAAAATGGCCGCCACGCTGTGCCGACAATCAGCTGATCCAGCACAGCGTGGCAGTCTGGATACGGATCGGTTGACAAGGGCAGCCTTTGTCGACCACTCCTGTAAACCTCGTTTCACGAGGCATAAAGGAGCGGTCGACAAAGGCTTCCCTTGTTGACTGATCCGCGTCTCATCCCTCAACGTTGGGGTAGGTCTTTGTTCTGATTCTGCTCATTTCTTTGGGGCACCTGGCATTAGCCACTGTTGGGGTGTGTCTAGACTACATGGCTCCGTCGACGGAGCCATGTAGTCTAGACACACCCCAACAGTGGCTAATGCCAGGTGCCCCAAAGAAATGAGCAGAATCAGAACAAAGACCTACCCCAACGTTGAGACAGTCAAGTAGCCAGCGTGGGGCTCGAACCCCTCACGTTGGTGTTATTAGCCCCCTACGCTCACCAGCTGAGCTAGCTGGCCATTAGAGGAGAGCCATGTTGCAAACACCTGTCCTGGCTGCCACACACCAAAAGCACAGGCAATTGGACATGACTGCTGCCAGCACCCAAAGGAGCTGACCGCTTTGTCGGGCCCCTGGGCAAGATGTGTGTGTGGGGGGGGGCGGCTCTGTGTTCCTGAAAGGGGTGGGGCCTCAGGTGCAAGGGGAGGGGCTGGGGCAGCCAGCCCTCGGCATGACCTGGAGTGCACTATGCCTCACCCTCAGAGCCACCCGCAGTATGCCGCACAGTGATCTAAAGGCCCTGGGACTGTAGTAGTGACAGTGGCAGCCGCAGCCCTGGTCCCTTTAGAATTGCCAGACCCTGGGGCAATGCCCCTTGCCCACCCCCCCCATCAGCAGGATTGCCAGCACCACCACAGTTGCTTGGAGAAAGCCTCCCGGTTGGTGTATCCTACAGAAGGACATTCTGTGTCACTGCAGAGCTGGCCTAAACCCAAGAACAACGGCCGTTTCAACCGCTCCTCCCAGCTCAGCCCCTCGGCGCACTTCCAGCTCCTCCCATGAGCACTCAGCGCCGTCACGGTCTCCTGCATGCCCGATGATTGAATGTATTCGAATTATTGCACCTTCCGCAGTTCTGTGCGGATGAGCTTCCTGCTTCACAGTGCTCAGGGCGTGCAACTGTAAGGGTACGTCTAGACTACATGCCTCTGTCGCCAGAGGCATGTAGATTAGGCTACCAGGCATAGGAAAATGAAGCGGCGATTTAAATAATCGCCGCTTCATTTAAATTTACATGGCTGCCGCGCTGAGCCGACAAACAGCTGATCAGCTGTGGCC